TTAAGCAGTTTTCGGTGGCATAAAGTCTCCTGGTTGGGCTTTGGTGTTAGTAGAGTGTACAGTATTTACAATAGTAACAGTAGAGCAGTCAGCATCTGTGTTCCCCTGCACTGTTAAAGAAGAGTACAGTTCATCTCTGAGAATCTTACATTAGACTCTCTCCCACTGAAGGATCTCCAGTCTTGGACTGAGGGATAGTGATAATGGCCAGGCCAGGGTGCTGAGTGGACAATCGGTGGTTGTATTTAGGTGGATGTGGGAAGATGTGATGGATGGGTTGGGATGGATGGTGGGCAGTGAGTGGGTCTCGACTGAATGGACATTGGGCAGATTAGAGCAAGTGGTGGGCAGGGTTTGCGGTTGGACTGGACAAATGATATCAAGATTAGAGCAAGTGGTGGACAGGGTGGGATGTACAAGCATTGGATTTGTGGATGTGGATGATTAATATAAAATTTAGAGCAGCTGGTCAGCAAGTTAAGGAGGCAAAGATTGTTTTGGTCTCAAAGAATGATATCCAGATTAGATGGGCAGTACATAGTGACGGTGTTTGGAATGGACTAATGGTGCCCACATTAGATTAGGACATTAAGAGGGCTGAAAAAGGTGACTGAAAGGTTGGCCACATTAGAGCCAGCTGTGGATGGGTTGGTGGGGGTGATGACTGGGTTGAGAGTATGTAAATGATGGCCAGTTTAGAGGAAGTGGTGGGCAAGTTGGGGTGGACAGTGATTGGGTGAATAGTACCAATGATGGCCAGATTAGAGCAGGTGATCCACAGGTTAGGGTGGGGAGTGATTGGGTAGAAAGTGGATAATTAATCTTCAGTTTAGAGCATGTAGTGGGTGGATTATGGTGGCCAGTGACTAGATTAAAAGTAGATGAATGATGGCCAGATTACAGTGAGTTGTGGCAGATTGGGACAGCCGCTGATTGGATTTAGAGTGATGGCTGATGATTGGGTTTGAGTGGAAGTATGGTGACTAAATTGCACCATCTGAAGAGCTGGTTGGGATGGACAGTGATTGGGTTCACAGTGGACAAATAATGGCCAGATTAGAGTGGGTGGAGGGCACTGATTGGGTTCAAAGTGGACAACTGATGGCCTGATTAGAGTTGATGGTGGGAATGTTAAAGCAGGCAGTTAACTGTTGGTCAGATTAGACCAGGCAGTGGGTATAGTAGGGTGGGAAGGACTGTAGTTTGGTTAAGAGCCAATGAATGATGGACAGACTAGCACATGTAATGGGCAGCACTAGGTTCATAATGGACAAATGAGAGCCAGAGTAGAGCATGTGGTGGGCAAGGACTGAGTTCAGAGTAGACGAATGATGACCAGATTAGAATGGGCTATGGGTAGTGACTGGGTAGATTCCACAAGCAGGTGGGTATTTGGTGTGGGTGATGACTGGCCGTGCAGCAGACGCATGGTGGTCTGATCAGGGCATCTGGTGTCTGGACTTTGAGTGGATGTAAAATGATCAGATTACAGTGGCCAGAGAGCTGGCTGGGGTGCACAGTAATCAGGTTCAGACTGGACAAAAGATAGCCAGATTAGAACAGGTTGTGGGTTGTGATTGGGTTTGGAGTGAACATACAATGTCTAGATCAGAGCAAGCAGTACGTAATTCAGGGGGGTCAGAGATTGTGTTTGGAATGAACAAATGATGACCATTCTAGAGCAAGTAGTAGACACTGAAAGGGTTTGAAGTGGACAAATGGTGGTCATATTAGAGCAGGTGATCATCAGGTTAGGGTGTTGGACTGCACAAATAATGGTCAGATTAGAGCAAGCGAGGGGCAGTTTTGGGTAGCCAGAGATTGTCTTTAGAGGGCATGAATGATGGCCAGATTAGAGCAATTAATCAGCAGGTTGGAGTGGTGATGACTGGCATGGACTGGATGATTGATGGCCAGATTAGAGTAACATTGAGCTTTTTCAGGTGGACAGAGTGCAGGTTGGTGTTTGCAATGACTAGTATAGAGTGAATAAATGAGGGTCAGATTGGAGTGGGTCGTGGCATGGATCGGGTGGGCAGTGATTGGGGAAAGAGTGGCCAAAGGATGGCCAGTTCAGAGCTTGTGGTCGGTGGATCATGGTGCCCATTGACTGAGTTCAGAGTGGCCAGTGTTGTGGGCTGACTTGGGTGGCCTATGATTGGGCTTAGAGTTGATGCATAGTGGCCACTTTACAGCAGCTGGAAAGCTGGCAGTGATTGGGTTTGCAGTGGTCCGGATTAGAGTGACCAGTAAGCTTTTTGCAGTGAGCAGTGACTAGTGTGAACTGGACAAATGATGGACATATTGGAGTGGGAGGTGCCAAAGTTGAGGTGGGCAGTGATTGGGTTGGACAAATCGAGTGGAAGAATGATCCTCAGATTAGATCAGGCAAGGGTTGAAGCATCAGTTGATGGTTGACCACATTAGAACCAGCTAGGCACAGGTTAGGGTGGGCAGTGGCTGGGTTGATAGTTGCTGCCTTTCCTGTTTGAAACAGCTGGGACGGGAAGTCCTCTGGGGTTCGAGCTCCAGCATGAGCTGTCAACTTCCACTAACCCTCTCTCTCTCCTTAACTACGTTGGCACGTCTTTCCTCTTCTCATTAGTGTCTCATATAAACCCTCGCTTGCTGAAGACTCTCACTTTCTCACTCTAACTCTCTCTGCCCTCTCAGGTGTACCCCTCTCTATCTCTAGGCCGCTCTCTCTCGGCAGGCTTTTTTATCCATATCCCCTCATTCTGTCTATGTCTGTCCCTGTTTGTCTTCCCCCCCTTCTCTCTTTCTCTCTTTCCACCTATCCCTCCTTCCCCCGGGCGAGGCCTCGGGGGTCCAGCACACACATCCGTCACTGCAGCTAGCTCGCTGTCAGACGGAGAGAGAGAGAGATTGGCTAGCTGTTGTTTAGAGGCTGTGTCGATCGAGTGGACAGGCCCTGGTGAAAAGCCTCGTTAGTCAGCAGTAAAGCGATGGTGGAATGGCAGACAGAGAGAGATTGAGGGAGAGCGAGGGATAGAATCAAGTGGTAACATTTACACGATCAGCTCTGTGGTTAGCCTCAAACATGATGGAGCTCGCAATCATTCCACTGGACTTCAAACGGCATGTACTTCAGTAAAAGAACATCCACCACAAAAATCATCTTAAGATCGACTTTCGTTCTCGTTGTGCTTCTACCTCTTTCTCTGTTTCTCTTTCTTCATCTGTCAGTCTGCCAATCTCTGTGCCAACACTGTTGGTAGAGTTAGCACAACGTAGGCCTAGTTTCTGAGCTAAGATTTAAAGGATACGCTAGACTTGAGAAGTTCTTGTTCACTTCAGGTCAGTCTGTAATGCATTTTAACCAATTTTTCAAAATGATTAAAATGTGAACAGTCATTCAGAGCGGTTTGATGCAAAATGTTCCATTCTACAGACTTAGAATCACAGTGGTTGTGATAGGAACCAGACATCTGAGAAGTTTAAAGCACTGTAAATGCTTCAGAACAGAATGTTATCTCATGAAATGTTTATGAATACAGATTCTGATGCCTGAAGACGCATAGGTTCAATATGGGTTTTGGTTGGTAAAGAAAATGGCTGTATTTGTGCTGAAAACAATGTGAGCCCTGGTTCCAATCATCACCTCTGCAAGGAGCCCATATCCTACATTTCTTGTGTTATAGATATATAAAGATGACCAAGATGGCTGCATGCGCACAACGCGAGGCCCAGCGTACTACTTTTTAGTAGTTATTAGTCTTTTGATTTCCACTCTTTTACGTCATATTTATGCCTGTTGATGCACATTTGCACAGTCCGTTTTGCACTATTGCTGCTATTTGCACTTCTGGTAGATGCTAACTGCATTTCGTTGCCTTGTACTTGTACTGAGCAATGACAATAAAGTTAAATCTATCTATCTATATCAATATACGTCCACCTATGACACATATGTGCAGTCTAAATTCAGTTTTGCATGACCTCTCTTTTTGTTTCTGTTGTTAAGACTGATACACAAAATGTAAATGACCTCTGTTCTGATTGGCTGCCCTGCATTGTGCCTCATTCAGAAAGAAGTCGAGGCAGAAACACTCCTTATAACTTCAGCATGAGTGGGCGGAGCTAGATTGAATAGGTGCATATAAATAAATGTGTAAGTTTCAGAGACGTCACAGAAAACATGACTGCAAATCAGGCTGGTTTTGCAGCTTAGTTTCTGCATATGGATTTGGGTGAAAACTTTCTAATTTACAATAATCATAAAAAGCTAAGATAAGAGACTGTTGGTTTTTATTGTAAAGACTAGATTGACCACCTTTCTTGGTGTAAATTTTAAGTTACACGTCTTCTACTGTGGCGTTTTGTGGTTCGGTTCTGGATTTAATACTGCAATAATAGAGAGATGCTAAGTGGTGCTCTGAGACAGTGATACAGGGCTGTCATTAACCACCAATTTTGCCATAGAAGAACCACTTTTGGTTCCGTAAAGAACCATGTTTGGAAAGAGATTTGTGAGTACACTCACGCAAAAAAAAATTATGCCACAAATTAAGTGCCATGTTTGTGTCCCTAAGCACCACTTCTATAAATGAGATGTGTGAGTGTGAAGAACCTTTGGAATATATATAAAGAACCTCCATAGAATCTAAAGGCTCCATACCAACTACAGAGTTCTTCCTAGAACATTTACATTATGTGGAGTTTCTTTACACTTGATGGTTCTTCATACTCACACATTTAAAAGAATGGTTCTCAAAAAATCTGAAAGTCGAATGTCACGTCTGCATTTATTTGCCTATAGATCAGTGGCTAGCAATCAATATTGGTTGACGTTATTAACTGATTTGAATGGTTCATAAACATAAATATTCTTAACTGTAAATAGACCATGAAAATCAGTTTTGAGTAAAGTTGACGAGTCAAATGGAACAGTAAACTGGACGCTGTCAGTCATTCCCCCTGTTCTCCCCTCATGATCTCATGCACCGTCCTAATATCCCTCTCCATCTCTCTCCTCCCAGGTGTTACGTGGATGACAAGGTCTCCAAAGTGGCCTGGCTCAACCGCTCCAACATCATCTTTGCCGGGGAGGATAAATGGTCCCTGGACCCTCGTGTGGACCTGGTGACCAAGGGCCAGCTGGAGTACAGTCTGCGCATCCAGAAAGTGGACGTGTACGACGAGGGGCCCTACACCTGCTCCATTCAGACCAAGCAGCAGTCCAAGACCTCCCAGGTCTACCTCATCGTCCAAGGTGAGTTTAGCGAGTCAGGGAGTGGAGTGATTGACAACCCGTCAGTCCCCCGACAGCCCATCATCTGTTATCAAGTGTCTGTTGTCATTCCCGCCGCTGCAGTCTTAATGCCTCAAAGCCGAACGCCTCTGACAAGGACTTGCCTTACGCCGCCAAGGACTCCGTTTCCCAGCCTGTCAAGCAGACGCAGATTTAAATACACATTGTGAGGAGGGGAATTGAGTGGCGAGGTTTATTCGTTGGATAAGGGCTGCTTTATTGTACGATCTCATGACAAGTTAAGCCAGAGTGGCGTTTTGACACAAAAGGCGTTGCAGCGATATGCCGGGAAATGTTTTAGGTGTCAGTCTAAAGATATGATGGGAAGGGATTTCTGATATGCTGGCGAGATACTGTGAATATGCGTTATTAAGCCGCTCAAAGCGCTCAGTATTACATGGTTCGCTCTGGTCTGTCAACGTGAGCGAAAAGGAGCAAAAAACACACCGAATCTGTGTGATTTTTCCAGCTGTTGCTCGTTTCATTTATCTTCTAATTATCTTGTCAAAGTCAGAAGGCAAGACTGAGCATTGTTTTAGCCCCCTCTTCTGCTAACCTTGTAGGGGAACTCTTGCTAAAATTAACCAGCTATATAACCAGAGCTGTTGTAAACATGCCTGCTTGAATTCTAAGGGGTGCCGCAGTAGTGTCTAGAGGTTTTCTGGCTTAAAGGCTGTTTGATGTGTCCTAAAGATGCTTTGGTTGCATATATTCAAGGGCAGACTGGTTAAACTCTTAAAAAAGGAAGAACCCACAAAGAGTTCTTTAAGTGCTGCAATAATAGAACCACTTTTGGTTCCCTAAATCCATGGTTGTCAGACTGGTCCTCAAGAACCCCTCAATGGTCTAGATTTTGGCTCCAACCTACCTTCAACATATAGAGATGGAATGGATGCAAAAATGTGGACCATCTGGGGGTCCCTGAGACTACTATGAGAACAACTGCCCTAAAGAACCATGTTTCAGAAGAGATTTCTCACTTGCTCACTCACCACAAGCAGTTCTTTGAACAGTCCAATAGAAGAACTACTTTGGGTTCCCTAAAGAACCATTTTTGTGAATGAGATGTGTGAGTGTGAAGAACCTTTTGAATGTTTAAATAAACTCTACATAGTGTAAAGACTCCATACCAACTTAAGGGTTCTTCCTAGAGCATTTATGTTAAGTGGAGGTTCTTTAGACTTTAAAATCATTCTTCATACTTCCACATCTCATTCACCAAAAAAAACCAGTTCTCTAAAGAACTATCCACTGAAAGGTTTTTGAAGGTAGTTCTTCTGTGGCATTATGAAATTATTTTTAACAGTATGTGAAGATATTGTAAAATACCAAGAGTTCTTTCCAGAACATTTAGATGATGTTGAGGTTGTTTAGACTTTAAATTGTTCTTGACCCTCTCACATCTCAATTACAGAAACTGGACTCGGAAGAACCATCTGTTGAAGGGTTATTTAATCGAAAGTGGTTCTTCTGCGACATCACAAAGAACCTTTTCTACATCATGTAGAGGTTCTTCAGACTTAATAATGGCATTTCACATCAAACTCTGAATGATTTTAGTTACTTCTCAATCATTTTCTTATGCGGGCATTTTTTCAAAATCGGCAGAATTCCCCCTGTTTGAAAATAAAGTGCACACTTAAAAAGATGGTTCTTTTAGGGTCCTTTAGTAAAGAAAATGGTTCTGTATAGAATCATGAACAGCCAAAGAACCCTCAGATCGATGGAGAATGTGCTGTATATGGTTCTATATAGAACCTTTTTGAAAACGGTTCTATATAGCACCAAAAAGGGTTCTCTTATCTTTACAGGCTTGACATAGTAACAATAGCAGAACCTTTTTGATGCTATGTCGACATCTTTTCAAAAAGGTTCTATATAGAACCATATACAGCACTCTGGAATCTGAAGAACCATTCAAAGAACCATTTTCTTCAACGTTTTTAAAAGTGTGGTTCTTGGCTTCTTAGTATAGTTCTAGGGAATAAAAAAACTTTGGTAAGTACCATTACATTATGTGGAAGTTCTTTAAACTTACCAAAATGACTATTTGAAGAACCACCCATGGAAAGGTTCCTTAAGAACCAAAAAGTGCTTCTTCCACAGCATCAATTGCAATTACAAAAACTGAACTGTAACGAACCATCTATTTGAGAGTTGTTTAAAGAACCAAAAGTAGTTCTTCTATGGCATGGCAAAGAACCCTTTCTACATTATGTGGAGGTTCTTCAGACTTGAAAATGGTTCTTAACCAGCACATCTTATCTATTGAAAGAACAGAAACCAAATATTGTATTTGTATTGATTCGCCTATCGATGAGTAGTCAGGATTGGTTTACACCACAGGGATTCCCAATGGTTGTATGATGTATTTGCACAGTGCATGCTGGGTATTGTAGTCAGAAAATGTAAATAAATATAAAATGGTGAATTCTATCAAACAGATGATGCTACAGAGTATAAAAATAGCACGAAATGCACTTTCATTTGTTATGAATTTGCCGCACTGCATTCCAACTCTTGGAAAACGAGTCTTTGAAAGAATGTCCGTCTCCTCCGTTTTGAGTTTACAGCAGTGTGAAGCGCTCCAGGAGAAAGGGATTAGCAGGCTAATGTCTTGTATCTCAAACACATCTACTCCTGCAACGAGCTGCTAATAGGCTGTGGCTCACACCGCAGTCAATACCGCTAAGCAGCAGGAAGGATCCATAAGAACAATTTGTGCACTTGTTCTCGAATCCATAGAGTCAGCGAATGCATTAGCTGTTCATTTCTATTGTGTTAACCGCTCATGGCGTGCAGCTTTCTTTGCTGGTGCCCTAATTGCCCAGCATTCATTTCACACTGGTTAGGGCCTGCTTTCATACGGTTTCCGGGTTTCGTACTCTCAGAGAAACAAACAGCTTAAAACGCAATATTAAGGAAAGGTCCCGAAGAAGCAGTTTCACCTAATAGGATCTCTTTTAGCTATAATTTTTTACAATAAGAGTCGCTACAAAGTTTAACTGGAGCTAAACACTTTGCAAGACTTGCTTTTTGCCCTTGGACTGCATCTTCTTTTTTTTGGGTGGTAGCTGGTGGCGTCTGCTCTGTTTGAAATGTTTTTGGCAAAGCCCAGGTAAGATTTATGCCTGCCGCCTCCGGGGAGGGTGAAGAGTGCCCATTCTCATTTCCTAAGCAGGAATGTGTTCATTACTCTTTTGTGTTGTATTGTATAGAGGTTTTTTTTCAAAAACCATAAATCTTTGTACAATTAGGAGCGATACTGTTGGACTTGCAAATTTCCCCGGAGATTAATGCCAATGGTATTGGCACGGCTGCACAGCGTAAAATAAAGGATGTATAGCAATGGTACAGGGACAGCGCTTGACAAAACGAAGTGAATGCAAATGCTGTTCATCTTCAGAGACAAACTAATAGTGAGTTCAGCGTTATTCCTTTCACTGTGTGGTTCATTGTGGGAAGTGTACAAAGGAGAGGAACCTTCGGGAGGAACCTTAGTGCTACTTCACTCACACAGCCTGGAGGTACAGTACAGGAACCCTGAACCTAGACGCCACTACAGTTTGGTTGGCTGTAGAGAAAGTCAGATGTCTTTACAGTGGTGGTGATAGGAACCAGGATGTCGTCATGGCTACAACACAAATATAGACATTTTATTCACCATCCAAAACCACCAGTGAACCTACACGAGTTATGTTTTTATATGGAATATTGATAATGGTAAAATAATGGAACATCCGGAAAACTATGCTGGACATTGCCCTATAACACTGTGCATGTAGCCTTCCATGAATAGATTTAGGAATATGTTTTAGGTCAAAATCTTCTCAAACCTACCAAAAACAATGTCTCAGTCATCAGGCAGTGAATTCATAACCAGTGCATGTAGTAACTTTCTGTGAGGGAGCTTTTAGAGGTGAACGTCTGGTTCTTATCACCACCACTGACCACTGAAGAGACTCATTTCTTGAGAGAGCATTTCACATCAAACTCTGAATAATTTTATTTACTTCTTTCTATATTATGCAAACATTTTTAATAACCAGCAGAATTCCCTCTTTGAAAATAAAGTGCACACTTAAAAAAGGTGGTTCTTTAAGGGTTCCTTAGTAAAGAAAATGGTTCTACATAGAACCATGAACACTCAAAGAGGCCTCTGCATAATAAAAAGGGCTCTTCAGATTGATGGAGAATTGGTGTATATGGTTCTAAAAAGGGTTCTTCTGTTGTTATAGGCTTGACATAGTAAGAATAGCAGAAACATTTCTGGTGCTATATAGAACCCTTTCTCTATAGAACAATATACAGCAATCTGCAATCTGAAAAACGTTTCCAATGCAAAGTACCCTTTAATCATGTAAAGGGTTCTTTGAGTGTTCCTGGTTCTATTTAGAATCATTTTATTTACTCAAGAACCCTTGAAGAACCACTCTTTTTTCAGCTTATTAGTACAGTTCTAAGAAGAAAAAAAGAACAAACTTTAGTAGGGATGATTACATTTTGTGGAAGTTATGTAAACTTACCAAAATGATTCTTTGAAGAACCATCCATGGAAAGGTTCCATGATCCATGAAGTGGCTACCAGAAAGCTACTATAACCCCATGCCCAGAACATTTTTACACTATATATAACTTATTAAATTCTTATTTTCCTTTTAAATTTATATTTTTGATCTTTTAATCACAAAATATAGTGTTATTTTTTTAAAAATTGATTTGAAACCTACCTAATTAAGGTATAATTAATACCTTAATTTGCATATTCTTTTGTCTGCTTGGCCCTTGACCCACCACAAACATTGCACCGTGGCCCCTAGAAACAAAAAGGTTGGGTAACCTTGTTATGGAAGAGTCAATTTTGGTTACATTTTAGCAGATAGCTATAGAACTATTGTATTAAATGAGATGCATAGGTGTGGAAAAAGTGAAAAGTTCATAGAAAATAATAGACATTTTCT